TTAACAAGGGAAAGTATGAGCATCGTGGAGCTTCTATCTGTCACGAGTATTTCCGAATCGAAGATTTGTTAGTGACAGAAATACTAACGAGTCAAGGGCACAGGTGGGTGAACAACTCACAAAATAGGGTTCTATTTCAGATTTTGCACCTAATTCGTCAGCCTCGGCAATATGAATAGAAAACTTGATGGGTAATGCACCATCCCAAATGGCTCTGGTAATGGGATTCTGAGGCGCTGTCATTTTTCGTATCTTAACAGATCTGTTGAATATGAATAATACTTACTGGTCTACACACCTTTCATTGGCTCATATATAATCTAATTCATGGATTCTTAATTTGGAAATGAGTTTATGACTTGTGACCTCATTTTTCACCTGTCACAATATCAGGTCGAAATCTAATTTTGCATTGGGAAGAAACCGGAACTTAACGAAAAATCTCAAAATGCATTCCTCGGTTTACGCGGGATCGTAAAGGTATATTTGCTATTTCATGTTTTGTGCTCAAGAAATTTTTATTTTTACGGCTTATCGATAAATTTCTAGGCAATCGTCAAAAATTCGAATGCCAGTGAAGTATGTCACACGTTTTCATCTGGTCCAAAAAACTCAAATAGCACCAATGTTGATTTACGAATTCAACCTTCTTTTTAAAGGAGGTGATGAGAACTGCTAGACTTTTCGCAAATATTGACGTATCGATGAAATCTACCCAACAGGTATGTTTTAAAGACTGTCGTATTTTTTTATGACGTTCATTTAACCGACAACAAAAAATGCGACATTGTTGATTTAGTCATTAGAGAAATTAACATCAGGAATTACACAACTTCAAGAAAGGTATTTTCATTTCAGATGTCTTTTTTTGTTTTAGGAAAAATTTAACAACTCCTTGAATATTAACATTAAAATACGTAGAAACGTGCAAATACTTAATAGTTTGTACGTGATTCCTCAAATTTCTGATAACTTGAAAGTTGATGAGTTGATAAAAACCTCATCTAATGATGCCTAATGTTTCTCGCCTGATAACAACGGAATTGATTTGAGTTGTGTGGACATGTCTATTATATATAATTATGTACAATTCGTCTATACTCAATTGAATATGATATCGCTAGGTGAAATCCTCATTTTTTTTTACCCACCACCACTACTACTAGTAGAAATCATACGATTATCAAATTTTAAATTTGCTTCAATGAATGTTTCTTTAATGTGATCACATATCATTTTCAAGTCCTCAAGACCTTTTCGCAAAGCTTCGATCGCGGTTGTATTCTCTTTGGATGATAGTTGGTTATCATCGAGATCGAAAAAAAAAAATTCAAAATTTTTTGACTGTTGTTAAACCTACCTGTGGTCTGAACGCGTATATTGAGCTTGTCTTCTGAAGGATGTGGGATTGAATAACCGCAATACTCAACCTCGGGACTCAATGTTCACCATAATATCATGATTAATAACGTGTCGGTACGTGTTTTTTAATGGATGTATATGTGTAAGCCTCTTAAACCTACTTTAGCATAATCGTATAACGCAAGGCATTTCCCAAAGTATGATCTTCGCCATTTATAGTGAATGTTACACTTGTGGGATCTTTCACCTCGCCCTTTTCCATCTTCTAAAAGCATGAAAGAAAGGTGAGGGTCACATTCATGAATAGAAAAGGGTTAAAATGTGAAAACAAAAGTATTACAAAGTCCAAGATGTCGTCCACCATTACTTCTGGCGCGGTTAAGAGGTCCTGATCTGTTGGTTCACCGATATCACTAGAATTCAGGTTGTCGGTTTCCATTGGCACTGAAGACCCATCGAGAGGTTCGCCGCCAGTGGACATGACTCATTGAGTGAAAGTTATTTTATTTCTGATGAGATATACGTACATTTTTGATGTGATAGAATGACATAACACAAAGTTCAGTGACCAATCGTCAATCACGTAAAATGATGCGTTTTTTTTTATTCAATCCATGATAATTTTTTTTACAAATAATATATTTTTTGTAGTACGTTCGTACGTAAGTTAAATAAAGATGAAAAAAGCAAAGGATTATGCGACGAAATTTTTGGTAAACCGAACGAGTGATGAAAACCCGTGGCCAATTTTTTGAGATAATTTTGTTTCCTATATATATTTGATGTCGATGTATTGTGTGTCTTTTATTGCATGATCAGTGAAAAAGAAACTTGGATTAATTTAAATGGCATTTTAAAAATGATAAGAAATATGAAGAGATACATACCGATGATTTTTCTTGACGCGGTCCTGGTCCTTACCATCCATTGACCATTTGGCATTGCGAGGTAAAAATTCGAATGACCTGTATCATCATCGCATTCACTCGTTGTCCTACTGGCCCTACTTGACCCAGTCTCACTGTTCGCGGAAGTATAATAGTTACAATCATCACCGAATTCTCGAACACCACTTGTTCTACCCTTGATACCGTGATTATATCTTTTTTTTAGTAGCGTCACTCCCTTCTCTTCTGTCACGTTATCGGAATTCTCAGGACCATTATTATCATTGTTCGATGAAGTTGAATTATTATTACTACTAGCATCATTCCTCTTCAATTGATTATCCGCGTCGACACCATCCTCTTCATTCATGGTTTTATTTAAATTTCCAATTTTAGATTTAAAAAGTCTACGCAAAATTCCATTGTTCGATTTACTCCTTATCGAATCATTAGTAGAAGCCCTTTTCTTTTTCCCTGGGAAGAATTTTCTTCCATTATCCCCAATGTCAACTTCTTCCTCTGGGACCTCGATAATTCCTTCGACTTGAGAGATTTTTGACATTTTTGATAGTATACTTCTGTCATCTCCATCCATCGACTTTCGAAAGTGAATTGAGCTACGTCTGCTAAGATTACTCTTCTTATGTCGAAGTGTTCGATTGATCGAGTCACCCTCCGATTTCTCTGTATATTCTTCCGCGGAAGAAGGGTACGTTTCATTGACTTGATTGACTGTTGACTGTGATGATGGCGAATCTAAGGGATGGCGCATAATTCGAGCATATTCTTGTGCTGGGGTTTCGGGTATCGGTGTTTGTATCACGTGACATTCCTCGGGAATTTGTGCAAATCCGGAATCGGTTTTTTGGTGTTCATAAACTTTCCTAACATTCTGTTTAACATTCGTCGAATCCGAAGTACGAGCTATTGGATCCACCACTGGCTCACTTCCAATTGTATCCGCCAGGTTCATGATACGTACAATGAAGGCGGAGTCATCCCATATATCATCGTTATCACCGCTGTCAGTGGGTTGAGAATTTCTTGCGGTAACCATCGAGGCTCTTGAGGTAGAAACGAAAGAATTTCGTGGAGAATTGTTCGCCAAAATTGTAGGATCGATGTCTGGAGCTCTGTTATTGTCGTGACTATCTTTTTTAATGTCGTTTGCCAACTTCAAATATGGTCGCCCGGTCTCTTCGGTTTTCTGTGAAGGAGGGTGTGGGAAGGAAAACAGAAACGATTGTAGTGAGTCTCGCTCACTCATAATTTCTTAATTACACCTGTTAGGCCGAAATTTTAGTTTGTTTCTGCACTCTATGACAGAGTATGACGGCCTACTGAAAGAGGGCACGGATTTCAAAAATTTAGAAAGGATTTATGACAAAAAAGTAGATTGATTTTTGAGTTTCTGTTTCCGATGAATTTATTGTGCCCTCAACAAGCAACAAAGTGTGACAGCTCAGGTGCAAAGTATTGGATTTCGCCATGCGTGACCATGAAACAAAGGAACTGTCTCTCAAGATTTCCAAATAAAGCTAGAAAAGGGGAAGATGCGCCGTTACGTATCTACTGATTATAAAAGGAATTT